ACCTTCTTTTTCTATGCCCAAAACCTCTTTTATCGTCTGCTTGGTCCTGTCTGCTATATTTTTTCCAAAAATGATAGAAGATTTCAAGGGGTTAATCAGTTGCCCAGACGCATCCCCATAAAGTTTCAAACCTCTCAAAATTTCTTCACTATCATTAATAGAGGCTTCACACAACAATAAACTGTCATCCGCGAAAAGCAAATGATGGATAGATGGGCTACCTACAGCTAACTTTATACCATGTAATTTTCCTTGAGCTTCAGCTCTGTTGAGGACATGGATTAATGCTTCAGCACACAAAATAAAAAGAAAAGGGGATAACGGATCTCCCTGTCGAATTCCTCTTTCTGGTTTAATAAACCCATGAGAGCGACCATTAAGTAAGACCGAGAAAGTAACAGTAGTAACACACGACATTATCCACGATACCCATTTCCGGTCAAAACCCATTTGTTCTAATAAGACTTCCAAAAAATTCCATTCCACTCTATCATAAGCCTTTGACATATCTGTCTTAATAGCCATACAGTTTTTACCAATTTTATCATTAGTGCGCAATGCATGTACCAGTTCATGCGCGATAATAACATTGTCTGTAATCAATCTGCCTCCAACAAAGGCCCCTTGAGTCTCGGAAATTATCTTAGGCATAACCATCTTGATACGATCACATAAAATCCGAGAAATAATTTTGTATTGTACACTGCATAGACTGATGGGACGCATATCTTTCATCTCTGTAGGATGTAAGATTTTCGGTAACAAAGATAGTTGTGTATGATTCCAACCAGCTGGAATGATGGATGTTTTAAAAAAACCTTCAACATCATCAGTAATTTTCTGTCCCACAATGTGCCAGTATTTTTGATAGAAAAAACCAGTAAGACCGTCTTCTCCTGGGGCACTACTACTTTTAATACCAAACGCAGCCTTTTTGATTTCATCTGAAGATACCTCTCTGGTTAACACCGTGTTCATATCAGCAGAAACTCTGCTTTCAAAACCCTCAAACAAAGTTTCTAAATCACTTGGATTCGAGCTTGTAAACAAATCTCTAAAATATTCAGTAGCGATATGTCCCTTAGACCCTTCAGAATAATGCTCATTGCCAAATAGATCTTTCAGCATGAGGATTTTATTTCTTATTTTTTTCCCCTTAACCACATTATGGAAATATGTTGTATTTCGGTCTCCTTCCCGTAACCATTCTTCTCTACTTCTTTGTCGCCAAAAAATTTCCTCTTCCCTATAGGCCGCCGCCAACTCCTGCCGCAGTCTCCTAACCAACCCATAGATGGGAAATTGCTTTGAGCTCTCTTTATCCAAATCACTCTGCAATCGTTCTATCCTTGTTTTGGAATTCCATTCATTCGTTTTCTTAAGCTTGGACAATTCCGATCGACAACGAGCAATCCGATCTAGAACTGTTAGATTGGAGTTCACGTTTTCTGCATCCCATCCCCGAACAATGGCATCAGCAACCCCTCTTTTACCATACAGACGCTTATCAAAATAAAACCGACCTCTTTGCAAATCCTCAGGTTCTAGAGCGAACTCTATTCGTAGGGGACGGTGATCCGAGGGCCACATACTCATATAGTCAGGTAGATTTATACTATTAAATAAAAGAAGCAGAGAATGCCTTTATTTCGTTACAGTTTCTTTTTTTGTCCAACCCAATTACTTTACCTCTACAGAGCAACCGTGCGGGATTTAATTTCATTTATATAAGTGTAAATACTTATTTATATAAGTGTAAATACTTGTTTATATTATCTTCTCTATGAAAAAAGAAGTACCAAATATATCTACTATTTAAGAGTCATGTTGAACCATGTCATTAGTTAGTTAATATGACATGTTTGATTGTTAGTTAACAAATCAAATATATATTATTTTCAAAAAATCTTAATAATTAATAAGGCTATTAATAATAATAAATCAATTTATATAACAAAATCTGTTGAAAAAAATCTAACAATATCTTACTAAAAAATTTAAATAATTTTTATATAAAATAAGTATTTCTTTATTTTGTTATTAAATATAATTATAAATTAACTTTAATTAAAAATAAAATATAAATCATGTATTTAAATTTTTTAGTTATATATTTATAAAATAAAAATATATCCGCACGAATGTGCGGATCAAATTCTAGTTAGAGTTATTTTAACATTTCAAATATATAAATGTTTATTTTAAGTATTCAAATAAACTGGTTTTATAGTTTATATTTTAACTGTTCGTTACATCTATTTGTTGTTTTTATTATATAATTATTTTATTGAATTTTAGTTTTATTATTAAATAAATTAATATTTACAATAAAAAATATATTTAAGATTTAATTTGCATTTTACTATGTTAAATTTTTACGCGTACTTTAAATCTCTATATTACTTTTTACCAAAATTTAATGCTTATTAATATAGATAATATCTCTATAATATTATTTGAGAAGTCAGTTTCCTATGTGTCGTTCTTACGTTCACTCTCACGGTGATTGATTACATTGATACCCTTAATGAATTAAAATAGTTAAAAATATTATTATTAATTCTTTTATTTATTTTCCTTTTCAAAATTTCCAGAAATATATGTAATAAAAAGGAAATTAGTTATAAAGTCATAAAAACAAATTTAAAACGAAAAATATATGTATATATAATATGATTTCATAAAAAAGGAAAATTCACAAAATAGCAATAATACATTTAAAAATAGTTTTTAAATAACATCAAAATACACTTTTAGAGTAATTAAAATAGTTTATGATTAGTATTATTGAAATTTTTTATTTATTTTTCATATATTTAGTTGACTATAATATCTTTCAATTACAGAAAATTATCTATAAATTATATTTCACTTACATAATATTATTTTCAAATACAATCACAATTTTGTGTAGTGCTTATTTTTAAGAGATATTAAAACCTAAAAATAAATTCAACAATAAACATCGTTTGATCAAATAATTAACAAGTGGGTTAATGAGCTAGATATATGATATTTTATCATTATTAAAATTATATGCTTTCTTAATATTAAATTTTCTTTTAAATTTTATGTTTTTATATTTGTGAAACTAAATATAATCATAATCAAAATATCAAAGCAAATCTGAATTCCCAATTTTAAGATTATTTAAAATAAATTTCAGTTTACATACAATAAATCTAAAGCATAAAGTTACTTAGAATTTATAGATATTTTGATTATTGTAAATATTGATATGTGTTCATGAGCTTCTAAAAATGTATCAAGTAATTATGCATGTAACCTTCTATTGATCATAGGATAACTCAAAAATATTAACAAATGAAAGTAAATATTAACCAACTCTTACAATTTTAATTCTTTTGTAAAATTTATATATATGCATGTGACTTTCGAATATTATCGTTATATTAATTTACGTATTTTGTAATTAGACACTTTAGTTAATTTTTAATTCATTCTAAGCACAATATATCTTAAGTTATATATAATTTTCCTAAAATATATTTATATATCTAAGACAACACCCACTATATGCAAATAAGTAATTAATTAAAAATATTATAGTTGAATTCAGGCAATCTAATTTATCCAATGATAGCTAAATCAACCGTAAAAACAATAAAATTGACTAAATCTAACATATAAAAAGTTATAGTATAATTAAAGTAATATAATTATATTAATATAAATGATGCATACAAATTATAAATTAATTTAAAATTAAAACTAAATAGTAATCAATTATTATCATATATTTACTTTTAAAATATTTATACCCGTGCATGAGAACGGGAAAACCACCTAGTACTATATTATTTTAACATAAATATTAATGAAAATATTTAATATAATAATGATTAAAATATGATAGTTTATGATTATAAAATAAATAAAAGTATAATTTTTTTCATTTTATAAACGATAACTGAATATATATTAATGTTTAATAATGTTTTATTATTTATTAAAAAAAACTAGTGAAAGTATTTACATACACTTTTAAAAATTGAGATCTTGTTAAAATAATTTTTAACAAAATTATTAGAATTTAAAAATGAAAAAATATCAAAATATATTGATCAAAGTAGTGACTTATATTTCATATTATTAGTAGTAAAAAACTACATTTCTAAATTTCTAATGGAAAATCTAACTAAAAGATCACACATAGAAAAATTCATAAATTCTATTTTAATAAAATTATAAGATTTAAGATGTTTATATGCTCATAATAATGGATTACGATATTTATTTTCTAAGAGAATATTGAACTTTTTATCACAGTTAACACCGATACTTGAACAAAAAGGTCCAAATCAAACAAATGATCGACGAAAAAATTTTATATATATATATATATTATGATTATTTGTTTGAGAAAACAACATGTAATAATTTGTTACAGAATACAACATATAATTGTTTTTGTAAGTACTATTTTAAAATTATTATTTCAGTAATGTTTTGGTTGGAATTGTTTCTTTGACTGAACATATGTGATTATCTAATCAAATTTACTAAAACACATGACTATATTTATTCTACAGTTTTTAAACAGTTATACGATATATTTCCACAACAAAACTCTTACTATTTGCAGCACATTTGATTCAAAATTATCGTGAAGAATAAATTTAAAATATTTACATATGAAATATTACAAAGGAAAAATGTGAGTTGCCAAAAAAATAGAAGAAAAAAAGAAGCAAATATACGCAATGAGACTTTTCATTTTTCACCGTCACTAGTATATATTTATACTAAAAGATATTGGGTATTTCAAATATGATCGCATGTTGCCGTTACTACAAACCCTAAATGAAAACCAAGAATATCTAACGGTGCGTATGCAGAGAAACCAATTGAACGCTTCAGATCACACGCTTTAGATATGAAAAGGAGAATGCCTATTGGCTGTCTCAGCTCTCGAGTCGTCGTCGTCCTTTTATTCAAGTTTCGCGGCAACGCCTCTCTCTCTCTATTTCATCTCCCAAATCATCTTCTTTTTTTTCCATCTCTCTCTCTCTCTTTTATAAACCTCTTTCGAAATTTCTCACCGATCTCTCAAAGCTTTTCTCTCATCCAAATTCTTCTTCTGTGTGATTCAACACTGATTCTCTTTGGAGCTGCTTAATCGGTGAGTGGATCTGTTTTGATCTGATCTAGGGTTTTGCAGCAGAACTGATTGGGACTTTTTCCAACTTCACTTTGTCTCATTTTATAGGGAAGCCATATCGATTAGTGGACAAGTTTATTACTTTCAAATTACAATTTCCAGGAAACTTAGATTTAAAAATTGTGATTTTCGAAATCTCAATCAGGTCTTGTTCTCTTTTGAATTCCGCCAAAGTTGATTTAGATCTCTTGGATTTGGTTTTATTTATCGATGCTGCGAAATTGTAAAGCAAAGTTGTTGTCTTTCTAAACACTGATCTTCTTCCTGTAGTGAAATTGAGTTCGTGATTTTGTTGAAGGGAGCAGAGGAATTTCAGAATATGGCGCCCAGTAAAACGACGTCGAAGAGTGTCAGCAAGCGCTTCACCAAAGAAGCCTCTCCACCAGATATAGACAAAGTCAAGCAACAACGTGTTAGTTTTGTCCGCATTGACCTAATCTTATCTTATTTAAACACTTCACTTTAATTTTTATAGAGACTCTCTTTTGTTATGCTCTTTTGCTATCTTCGTTTTTCCAAAGCTGAATCAGATTTAACTCGTTCACTGTTATTTTTTTTTCACATTTTTAGAAGAAGAAATTGACTGACAAGGTGGGACCTCAGTGGACGAAAGGTGAGCTTGAGCGTTTCTATGAAGCCTATAGAAAGCACGGCAGAGACTGGAAAAAGGTAACAACAGTATGGTTACTTTCTCTACTTTTTGTATGACTTCAAAGTCTTAAACATTACGTATTTCTGCTTTAGGTAGCTGCTGCTGTGCGGAATAACCGCTCTGTTGACATGGTGGAAGCTCTTTTCTACATGAATCGGGTATACTTACAAGAATATCTCACTCTAACCTTGAAACGACACTATGTCAAACGTGAATACCTTTTCATTTCGTTTGATTTTGCCTTTTATTTTGGCAGGCATATTTGTCCCTGCCCGAAGGAACGGCGTCTGTAGTTGGTCTTATTGCAATGATGACTGATCATTACAGCGTCATTGTGAGTCATTTATTTTATTATGGCTGGAGTACCTTAACCCTCATGTTAAAATGACTTACTGCTTGAAATGGGTTTACATTGTCTGTCTAGTAAAGTTGTGTAAATGCTCTTTTTTTTTGTAGGAGGAGAACGAAAGTGAAGGAGAAGGCCACGGTGGTTCTGGAGTATCGAGGAAATATCATAAGAGCAGACGAGCTAAAGTTCCGCCTAATGATATTCGAGAAGAAGCTATCTCACCACATTCAGTTGCATCAACGGAAGGATGCCTTTCATTTATGAAGATGACACAAGTTTACGGTACAATCATTATCTAGTTTCCTGCAAAAAAAAAAGGCTTCAAAAATGCTAAACAAATGATTACTCTGCGATTTAAATTGTTGTGTAAATGAACAACAAGCTCCCCTTTATCTTAGTTCTCTAGTTCACCATATTTATAGAGTAACCATCTGTCTTGTGAGATTCTGCGGCAGCGTAACAATACATGTAAATGAATATGTTTTGTGACTTTACGTTATGCAGGAAGGGAGCGACGTGCCACTGGTAAACGTACACCTCGGTTTCTTGTACCAGGTGCAGACCAGAGGGATGATATAGATGATTCAACGCCACTAAATAAAAGAGCCAAGATACTACTTGAGGCTGCTGATGATGATGCTGATGATGATGATGATGATGTACTAGCATTAGCATTGGCAAAGGCATCGAGAAGGGTGGGAGGATCTCCTTATAGAAGAACAGTACTCAACAAAAGCACGCCAAATGTGAAAATGGTATCTCTATAGCTCTCGAAATTCAAGGTTTGTTATCATGTTATGAATCATTTAAAATAACAATTCTACTCTTTGGTTTTGCCAGTCACAAGCAAAGGAAGCTGAATCCAAGAACCGTGCTAGCTCCATGTTTGAAAATGTGGTGAGAATAGGCCGAGATAGGACGAGTGTTAAGGGAGCTCCAGATAGAGATGGTGCCGTGTTGAGGGATATGGAAGGGGTTGGTACCGTCGAGGTTCCCCTGATGGAGAAAAATGTGAGACACGAAGAAGGAGAAGGGTTGGTAAATGTTGAAGCCCCAAAAGGTAATATTTTCACTATATAGCCAAAAAAGCTAATAATAAACTTCTTTTATGGAGGTAAAACCAAATAATAAGTTACGTGGGAAAAAATAATATAAGTCCAGTAATAGTCTTTTTTATGGTTTTTTCATAGTAACATTTTGATTATTATTGTCTTCTTAACCTAAGGGCCTTCCTATTTTCATGTGTAGATAAATTTGAAGCTCTGCATGCATTGGCTGACTTGTCAGCTTTACTAACGCCGGCTGATTTGATGGAATCAGGTGAGCATCGAATGCTTTTGTATTCTGATTTTAGAAGGAAAGACTCATTAATACATATCTGCAGCTTTAACATTTTACCTCTCTTTATTTATTTCTAATGTTGTGCGTTGGTTCCAGAGTCATCTGCAGAGTTAGAACAAGAAAACCAAAACAGAAAAGAACCAAAACAAGCAGGACGAGGAGAAAGTGTCCTACATGTAACTTCAGCTGCTGATAGTAGAAAACCGAAGTCTGCGGAGGAACTCGTTGATGGTAATGCTGTTCCCATAGGGGAACTTGTCACTTCAAGAAGAAAACGTAAACCTCCACATAATAAGGTATTTGCAAATCTATATATGTGCAAACCCCGCTTCTTCCTATTCGATTGTTTTGTTGTTTGGATTTTAATCTTACTCTGTGTGCTCTGTGGTTGGTTGTCCACAATTCAATTGTAGGATCCTTGACAAAGTATTTTTATCAAAAAGTAACTTTTTGTGATTCCTCTCATGAATTTTGTTTATTGCATTTGCAGGAATTGGCTGAAGATGATAATTTGAAGACTCCGATCAACGCCAGACGTGCTGGTCAAGGTCCAGCAAAGCAGCAGAAAACTGCAAAGACCTCGGGAGAATCTTTTTCAACTAATGATAAGAAAATAACTGGACCGAATGACGTAGTATCAGCTACACCGCGTCCAGCGAGTTTGCCGCAGAAACAACCAAACAGGCGTAAGATTAGTTTGAAGAAGAGTTTACAAGAAAGAAGTAAATCTTCTGAAGCCACTCATAACAAGTCACATAGTTACCAGATAGATCCAGAACATGAATTATTAAAGGTGGAGTTTCTAACTTCATTTCTCTTTTAGACGCATTAAAATTCTGGTAACTTATTTGCTTTATTCTATTCACAGGAGCAGGTTTCCACTTGTCTGTCACACCCATTGGTACGTCGAAGATGCATATTTGAATGGTTCTATAGTGCTATTGACTATCCATGGTTTGCAAAGATGGAGTTTGTTGATTATCTAAATCATGTGGGTCTTGGTCACGTTCCAAGACTTACGCGTCTTGAATGGAGCGTCATTAAGAGGTTTGTATTAAAATGAGCTCATAGTAAATATATAAAGATTTGAAAAGGTTACTGATTCTGTATATTTTCAGTTCTCTTGGTAGACCTCGGAGATTCTCTAAGAGATTCATACAGGAAGAGCGGGATAAACTCGAACAGTATCGTGAATCTGTGAGAAAGCATTACACAGAGCTACGTGCAGGTTCCAAAGAAGTGCTTCCTACAGATTTGGCGCAGCCTTTATCAGTTGGGAGTAGAGTCATTGCCATCCATCCAAAAACACGGGAAATTCGTGATGGCAAGATTATTACTGTGGATCATAACAAGTACGACGTTCTGTTTGATGAATTGGGTGTCGACGTGGTTATGGTAAATCTCAAACTATAATCTTTTTTATACTTTTAATCGTATCTCAGATGATTTAACAAACCCTTTTGTTACAGGACATTGATTGCATGCCTTTAAATCCTTTTGAATACATGCCTGACGGTCTAAGGAGGCAAATGGATAACTGCTTGTCAGTATGGAAAGAAGCACAGCTTACCAAACACCCAAGCTCTGATGCATCTGTTCTGTTCCCTCCTTCCATGCTTGAAAATCTCGACTTTTCTATGAGTCTTACTAAGAAAGAGGTAAACAATGACGTTTGAATGGTTGGTTAAAGCTTTGATCTTTCTTTTTTCGTTTAGTACATTTTTGGTAGAGTCTATGCATAATTCAATAAGCCTCTCTACAGGATGATAGGGAGAGGCGAGTCATTGCTGATCACAAATATAACACAGCCAATAGCAAAGCAAGGAGAGCTGAAATTCAACGAGCTCTGGTGCTGCAGCGTACTTCAGATAAACAGGTAATGACTATTGGTAACTAAATAGGTTTAAGTAAACTTTAAATGTATACAAACCTTATTTTGGTTCCCCTGTCACAATTCTGTTTTTCAGGAAATGGAGCCAGAAATGCTTGGAATTGTCAGTGGTTCAAGGTCAATAGCACAAGCAATGGTGGATGCAGCTATGAAGGTAGTTATAATATGTCTTTGCGTTTGTTGAGTGCCAAGCAATTCAACTACATGTAGAGAATTAAGCGGATATTTAAATACAGAGAAGAAGTCTATGTTTTGTTTAACTTGGTTTCACTGTGGGGTTGTAGGCTGCATCTTCGGTGAAGGATGACGAAGACGCAGGGAAGATGATCCAACAGGCTTTAGACTCAATCAGCGAACATCATCAGCCATTAGATAACTCTATAGTGACTGTGAAGCATCAAGACCAAGCGAATTGCAGCTTGGATCATCATCAAAGCCGGTCTCCCTCAAACACAGGAGAGCCGATGTCTGAAGGATTGATTAGCTCTTGTGTTGCAACTTGGCTCATGATTCAGGTAACTCAAAAAGAAATGTACTTGGACTGATGAAAGTCAAGAATACAAACTTTTTCAGTTGAGGTTTATTTCTCATTTTATACCTTAAGAGGTTAATAGGGGTATTGATTTGAACTGTTTTTAATGCATGCAGAAATGCACAGAAAAGCAGTACCCACCAGGTGACGTGGCGCAGGTGATGGAGACAGCAGTGAGTAGCTTGCAGCCGCGGTGTCCCCAGAACATGCCGATCTACAGAGAAATACAGACTTGTATGGGATGGATCAAGAATCAAATCATGGCTCTTGTCAAAACATGAATATAATTCTCGAGCTCTTTACATAGATACCTGACATCTTCATCTGAAAAAGAAGAAAAAGATAACAGAATATATTGTTTAGTTTAGTATAAGTTTAGTTTTTTTTTGGGTCAACATAAAAGTTAGTTTAACACCTGAACACCTACTCGATTAGTTACCCATTTATTCTGTAACTTTGGAGCTAAGGGTGGTCACAAGCATTATGGTATTTTCAGTATATTTGGTACTTGGGATTAGTTTGTACAAGTAGTATAATTTTGGTTTTGTACTTGGTTTGAAGTACTTGTCAAAAACGAGTATTTACATTTTCAAGAAATTGAAAGGTAAATCACTTTATTATATATAAAAGATAGGGACAATCCCATGAAAAACTTTTAAAATGGAAATGAGTTCCATGTTAAACTTCCAAAGTTTTTTTTTTTTAACACAAACCTCCAAAGTTTATACTTCCATATTAAGCCTTTAAACTAACAACGTTCTTAACAAAAAAAAAAATATACATGAAAGTGGTTCATGCAGCTATGAAGGTAGTTTTAATCTTGCTTTTGCAAATAAGTTAAATAGGTTTGATCAAAAAAAAAAAAAAAAAAAAAAAAAAAAAAAAAAAAAAAAAAAAAAAAAAAAAAAAAAAAAAAAAAAAAAAAAAAAAAAGTTAAATAGGTTACATGATATTCAATCTGGTGACCAAGTACTCGACTTTGCGGATCAAATACCGATCCAGTAGCAAATATGAGCAAGTAACGAGTAATGCCTCAAACCCTCGAATCCTACTTGAAGAGCAACGGAAATAAAACCGCAAGAGTCAAATTCACGTTAGGAGGTGAATAAAACTTGAATAAAGCTACCAACGAGCTTTCCATTGACAACGAACTTAATAGAAACAATGGACCTTCATCTGTTGCCATGGAATTTGTTAGTAAGAAGTTTCAGAACTTTGTTCATCATCAACAACTTCCTATTTCAACATTGCTTCTAATTCTTTCTCTCCCTCCACATTACTCAAAACCCCATTAAAACAGTGGACCATGTCGAAACACAACGAACTTCAATGTAGGCTCATTGACGAATGCTGAACCTTCTGAAATGCAACGACGTTGTGGCTAACGTGACGGGTTTGTTGTGACAAAACAAAGCCCACTCTGATTAATAGAAGTTTTTAGTACCCGTGTTTGGTTTTGGTGATATATTTGTATGTTAGACATTAGTCTATGTATTAACTCAGTTCATGATGTATATGGTTAATGTTATATGGAATCAAACCATTAGTAAGGGTTACTTCTGTCCTAAATGACATCGACTTAGGTATAATCAACTTACGTCCGTTGTAATAGAGGAACGCAAATACCATGAAAATAAGCAAAAAATCAAATGAAGCTTAACAAATACATCTGAAGTTGGATATGTAAATCTCACATGTCTGGATTGGCCTCCTCAGGAATAACTTCTAGTGTGACCGTTTCTATATTTGATCTTTCCACAACTACTCGGATCCGCTGCCCAACTCTATCGTCCATTATCTCTATTAACTGCATATTAAACCTCATTCACACATAAATCATTTCTATTCTAATAATAAGAAGAATGTAGATTGACGAGATGATACATGCCTCTTTGATTGTCTCGACAGGCTTTCCGTCAAACCTCACAACAACATCACCTGGTTTGAATCCAGCTCTATCAGCAGGTGATCCAGGAATCACCTGCAGAAACAGCAAATATATTGGTTGAATATGCAAAATTTGACACTGGTTAGGATTTACACAAACAACATGGTATCTTTCTTTATGAATGAATGGGGTTACTCACCGTAGGGACAAGAATGCCTTTTTCCACATCAGGAAACATCGGGTATCGTTCTTTAAGCTGAGCAATGATCATTTTGTTGAGTTCGATCATTTTTAACCCAATCCATGGACGAACTACTCTACTGCAACAATAGTTTTCTATAAGTAACCAAAGCCAGCCAGTGAACAAGTATTTCAGATTACTACTATCATACCCGCTTTTCTTGAAATGTTCAATGATTTTGGAGACTGAATCAATTGGTACAGAAAATCCGAGACCATCTGCAGCTAATACTTTCATGATGTTAACACCAACCACTTCTCCATCCAAATTCACAAGAGGCCCGCCAGAGTTTCCCTGTCACACAAATAAGCAGAAGAATTTAAAAATGAAGAACATGCAACCCTAAACCGTACCAAGATCTCAAACCATGGATAAGGAAAGATGTGGATTATTATTACAGCATTGATCGCACAGTCTGTTTGGAGGTATTCTCTTCCTGCGCCTCTTAAACCCAAATCACTGCTTTTGCGATCAACACAACTACACCGAAAAAGAGCAAAAACAGAAGTAAAGAACACATGGTAGTGATAAGAACTTATCAAATGAAAAAGAAAATAATTGTGGTTACACATGTACCTAACAATACCGGCGGTTATTGTATTCTGAAGAGAAAGAGGACAGCCAACAGCTATAACCCAGTCCCCTGGACGAAGCTTATTGGAGAAACCAAGTTTAGCAGTTGGCAATGGAGTTTTTGAGTTTATCTTTACTAATGCAATGTCGGACTGTAAATCAGCATTAAGCACCACACCTTCAAATGTCCTACCATCTTGCAATGTCACATCAACCTTCAATCCAAAACCTCATATGTTTCAGAAAAATAGATTCCATCCAGGTATTGTTTAAAAAACAAATCTTATCATTAGCTATTAATCCGAGATCTTACTCCAAACAATTAATCATGCATTCCTCAAAAATGTCATTTCAAGATCCTTGGCAAGATGGTATGAACAAAAACTACATGGTTTAGCAATCAAGAGGTTTGACATACACTCTAATTTCATTCACTAGTCCTACAAGATCTTTTTTAAACCAGAATACGATGAGCTGGTCATCTTTTTATGAACTTACCCTTCCTTTAGATGACTGGCGAATGCTCTGAAAATCGACAACAACGTGAGCACAAGTGAGTATTGTGCCATCAGCGTCAATGATCGTTCCAGAACCGATACTCTTTCCAGTAGTAATCCCATGAAATCCTTTTACCAAAAAAAAAAAAAAAGATCACCCAACAACCCCAGTGAATCAATCATCCTGACAGACAAAATGAAACTATAAGAAAAAAGAAGTGAAAGAAACCTTGAGGAACAGAAAGATTGACAACAGCTGGTCCTATTCTTGCAGCAGCATTAGCGATTGTATCCCTCCCCAAGAACCCACCACTCGGTGGTTTCACACTATCAGAATCCTCAACAGGAACTCTCTTCTCATCATTAATTGCACCTGCTGCTTCTGGTTTTGGATTCACTCTGGCAGAAAACGCCGCCAAGTTTCCTACATTATATACAATTTTCAAAAAAAAAAACACTTTACAGCTCTTTTTTGGGAAAGAAAAACAATTGCAGGCTCCATATGTAAAATTACATATATAGATAGATAGAAAGAAAGAGAAAGAGATTAGAAGTTGCATTACGAACCAAACAAACTTTGCTCTGTGTGATTAATCAAACCCTGTGAAATCTGCCAAGGTAATGACTTAGATTCCCTAATAGATTCTGGGATAGCCACTGATATTCTCGTTCCTAGAAATACATGTCACATGAAGAATAACAACTATAAGATCACATTTGCATATTTGCAACTGCACACTAACCGTTAGGCAAAAAGCAAAAAAAAGGATAAGATGTTAGTTAGAGCTTGGTTTACCTGCATCGGTACCATATACAATCCCTGAAGTAGCTGTAGCTACAGCGACGATGCGTATTAGCGAGCTTCCCTTAGAAGAAGAGACGGCTCTTCTCTACCAAATGAAGGAAAAAAAAAAAAAACAATACAAGTTATTGAGTTTAGATCAATTAATGGAGTAGTTCGTTATAATCGAGTAGAAGAATCTAACCAGTAAATTCATCATCGCCAAAATCTACAAGATTCAAAAACTTTGATCGCAGCTAAACCCCACGCAAGGCAAGTGAAAAACCTCCTTCGCTTTCCAGAATCATCGGGTAGGAGACAGACACTCAACGGCAATTAATATGGGCCGGCCCAGCTAAAGCCCAATTTAAGCAAAAAACTGACTTATCTTTGGAGCCCAACTAAAATACCTAACAGACTATAATACTGGTTTTATTAGTAGAAACAACTTTGATTAATGTCATTAATGCTACCATTCATTTACTCCTTATCTTCGAATCTTACATTTAATTTCTGTGTTGACAAAGAACACATTTAATCTGTGTTTCTTAAATCGAGTGGGTAAAAAAGAATATGAAATCTAGAAAGAAATTTATTTATTTGATATGACTGAGAAGATACCCAGAAATTAGTTCATTCATTACAAAATGACTTTTAAAAACAAACATAATCTGCCACTGGACTCACAAACAAACCAAACGGGGGAAGTAAACATAGAAAATAACCTACACAATCCCTAAAAAAACAAGATGTTCTTCTCGATTATGATATAACAAAAGCAGCAACCAACATCCATTTTTCAAGCCTTCTTGGGAGATTTGGTAGCTTTAGCAGCTTTCTCAGGCTTCTCAGTTTGAGACGCAGATCTCTTAGGAAGTAGAATCGGGTTAATGTTGGGAAGAACACCTCCACTCGCGATCGTGACTCCGTGTAGCAACTTCCCCAATTCCTCATCGTTCCTTATCGCCAAGCAAAGATGCCTCGGGTTTATCCTGTTCTTCTTGTTGTCCCTCGCTGCGTTCCCCGCAAGCTCCAAAACCTAAGAGAGAGAGAGAGACATTATATTCTTTAGATCTATAAATCAGAAATTTCAAACCCTAATTTCATTTCCGAAAAATGCACATCCGTTAAAAAACATAAATCGACGGAGATCTGAGATTTCACCTCAGCGGCGAGGTACTCGAGAACGGCGGCGAGGTAAACGGGAGCACCGGCGCCGTACCTAATCGCGTAACGACCTTTCTTCAAGTAACGAGAGATACGACCGACGGGGAACTGGAGACCAGCCTTGACGGACTTCG